TCCGCGATGGCTGTGGCTGCAATCTCCACCGTTTGGCTGGGAACCAAGTGAGGAAGCCAACACGAGCCGACATACCTGGTAGCTCCTAATGATGGCCTGCACAGCCAGATGGTCATCGATGGTCTTGGAGTCGGGCGCAGCGCCGGAGACTGCTCCACCAAAGTTGAAGGCGGTCAGCGGCAGAGTGTTGGCCTGCACAGGCGCCAAGTTGGGGGGGCTGACGTAGCTATTGCTGCGGAAGTACGCATCCCAGGACTGCAAATTAAAGAGAATTTTAGTATAATCTCAAAATAAAGATATATATAAATTTAAGGGATTTAATATTCTTTTCGATATTTTAAACATTTTTACGATCAGGAATAAAACATTTCTGGTTCAGAAATAAACCCAAGAAAGGCAGTAGCAAACTGGTTTTAAGTCCAATCAGAACCGGAATCGATTTTTACAGAATCACATCCCTGTTTGATAGCATTACTTACTGTGTGCACGGAAGTGGGATCCCTTAGCCAGGCGTTGTACATCTCCTCCACATAGGAGGCGGTGCTGCCGTTAGCAAAAGGTTCGGCAGCCGCGGAGTTGTAGGTGCGCACAGCGGCCGCTGCAGTTACCTTGGCCATCTGCAAGAGTATTGGGATATGGTTAGTCATAATCCTCTAGAGAATCACCATATATTAGACTCACCTGCTTACTGCTGCTGCTCTTGAGCAGCCATGTGGCGAAGTTCTTATGCGCCATCGGCGACAAGGCCAGGCTGAAGGCTGTGTGTGCTCTATGCATTTTGTAGCTTTACAAAATAGAACTGAAACGAAATGAAGAGACAATCTTTAGTTGGGATCTTATCACTGGACTATTATATCACTCGCGACTGATTAATCGATCGCTCCTTTGTTGACAAACAAGCCACGTAGAAGATAGCAACCCCCCCGCTAAACACCGAACTCCTGACCCTCGGCTGCTGTAAAGTGCGATAAGATATAGCCCAGAAGTTTTTACGTCATGGCCATGTTCTGGGTTTTAACTGTGTCACCGATCAACCGAATAAGCCAAACTTGTTGCCAGGCCAGCGGGCCAGTTATGAAATTCCCGCACGAAACAAGTTCACAATAGAGCGGTTGGGGGGCGTTGCGGAGGGGAATTTATATACGTCTAAAGCCAGACTAGACCGCACTGAGAACGGGGGATCGCTTGGCAAAATAAAGTACACGTGATACCGTACGCCTGCTGATTCCGCCGATGACGTCAAACTAACGTGGGCTGGTTTCGACAGTTCGCTCGTCTTTTTGATAATCAGCCAAGAAATGGCGGAGATACTTTGGCCCCCAAAAAAATAAAGAAATGGTGAAATGGGTGTTTTTATATACGGAGAAGCAGCTGCTTTCTGCGCAGTTTATTCGTTTCCCAACTTTTAATCAGTTGTGAATATTTGCCTTGGCTTTTTGTTTGCCATCTCGGAATCACGATGAACATTCACCTGGACTTTTGAGTGAAACAAGTTTGCCGAGATAAGGCTTAAACGCCAAGTGTGAATGTCCCGGGGTCGGAGTAATAAATTCCTTAGGTACATGACTAAACGCAGAAGCCTCTAGACGCAATTGGTTGATAAGATGGCTGCTGTTTCTTATAAAAAAACCGGCCTCCAATCCCGATCATGCCACGCCAGCACTTCAGGAATATGTCAAATTATTAATCAAATTATTAGCGATAGGCCCGCGCGTGCGGATGTCGTAATTGAATGCCTATCTAAAGCCAGTCATGCAAAAAATATATACAAATTGAAATTCGGAATGGGAACTGCTGGGGCAAGGAAGGCGTGGCTAGGTCACATGTCTTATCGTCAAAACGCATGCTGCCCAGACGATCCAAATCAAATGATTACAAAACGCTGGCCCCCAGACATGAGAGAAAACAATTGGAACGGCTAACCGGTTTTGAGCGGTCAAAGTTAAGTATCTGAAAGTGCAGCAGCACAATTGTTATTCAATTTTGTAATAGTTACAGTTACACAGATACATGTACAGCCCTCTAATTCAATTTAGCAGCCTGACAGACAGCTTTTCTTTCAGTGTTATTTATCAGTTTGCTTGTTTTGTGCTGGCGCTTTTCACATACTGCTTTCCCTGCAATTATATTCTGGCCGACGTCGCCGCTGATGTTACGAAAACACACATTACATAAGTGCAAAATATATAAAAGAAAACAGAGACTCGCGTGAGAGCAGCTAGATTATTAGAATGCCCAGATGGAGCTAATTAGTGTGAAATAGCTCGCTCGCTCGATGAGCTTGCAGTTCCACAATTTGGAGCATGACTGGAAAAATCCATTTAAATTTTAAACCGAGAGGAGTGAAATCCCACTGTATCTACATATATCTAGACACTGCACTGCACGGTGGAATAAAACGGGGTATAATATATACGCCGTATAATATATACTGCGTGCGATTGCTCCAAAAACCAACCGAATATATGTGTACTCGTCGTACTCGTATCCGTATCTCGCAGATACGCGGCAAACGTTTGTTCGTGCTGAGTGCTGCGCGTCGACTGAAGCGAAAATACAAAAGCGGCCGCCTTCGAGAGTGAAATATACAAAATTTAGAAATCGAATTTGCTCTTCACAAACCGCGAGCGGGGTACAAAAAAAATTGAAAGGAAAACACAGAGTGTGTGATAAAAAAATAAAACTCACACATACAAACACAAAAGGGGCACATGACAACTCGGCGTTGTATCTCTATCTTCTGGCAAAAGGGGGTTTGGTCTTCGATCGCCGGACCTGATAACAGTCAGGTACATATCGATCCCACTTCCTCCGCTTATCTAACCATTCTCTCCTCCTGTTTTGTGTCCATGTCTTGCGTATTTATAGCTCGAATTTGTTTACAACAATCCCAAAGTCCGATCGACTGCCGGCTGACTGTTTGAAAAAATGCCGCCCACACATCGAAAAAAATAGAAAGGGGAGGTAAATTGAAGAGTAAAAGTGGAGGTATGGTATGCCCAGGGAAATATATTCATAACACATCCACAAAGCTTGCTTATCACATAATACCGCAGGCGAAAACAACGAAATTTATATATTAGCGATAATAAATATAAAATTATGACTAGCTTTCCCACAAGAGTGATGTTTAAATGAATTACTTTGAAGAAGTGTTTTTAAAATTTTAAAGCTTTTTAAATTATTTTTCACTGTGTAACGAATAGGTCAAGCGAAACGCAAGTGAATATGTGCGTGTGTATCGATTACCTTACCGCTAATCAATAAAGTTTCAAGTTCACAAACGAGTCACATTAATATAACAAATTGCCTTGAGTGCGGTGCGAAATTAACGGAAATAGGAATAAAACCGAATATTTAAGCACTCTTTAAGGTATTTAAAGTCATCATTACTTTAAAATATTGCCTCAAACGAATTGGCTGAAACCACTTAGTTTGACTAGTTAATGAAAGACAGTTACCAACTTTTATTTAAAATTTTGTATCTAGCTAAGTGGAAACCATTAATTTGGACTTTCCAATGAAAGGTGGCTAACAGTTTAAATGAGTAGAAAGGGTATAGAAAGGTAAGAAAGGCGCAATCGATAAGGTTGAGGACCTTGCTTAGCTGTTTCCAAAACCAGAATGCAACTGCATTCCATTGAAAACCCTAGACGAGCCCCCCGGAAAAAAGAAGAAGAGCGGGCCAAGAGCATGAGGTAATTGAAGAGCGTGTCAAAAGGGAGAAGTAGGAAGGAGGGTAAATACTACTACTATTGGGGTGACTATTCCCGATCTGGGGCCTTTGCAGCTGAGTTATGATAGGTTGTGGCGGATGTGCCACATCTGTCTATACGCCACAAACTAGTTGTGCTTCCCCAGACAATGCGGTCGCCGCAGCGCTTTCTTTGCGTATTATCTTTTTTTTTTTTGATTGATGATTCATTTGGTGGTCGCAGAAAAAGCACACGCGGCACTCGGTCAATTGCGTCATCATTGCGCCAAGTTAATTTTACAAATCACATGTGACGTCGCCGCTTGTTTTGCATTGCGAAATTTCACTTTTCTTTTGGTGGCAACCGGCGCAAGCGCTTTTCCGCCAAAGAGCCGCCCACCTGCACTTTTCGCATTATATAAGAACAGTCCTTGAATTTAATTTGGTGAATGCCCTAGGAAAATCCACATTTAATGCTTTTAATTTGCACTTTCTCGGGTGGGAAACATGCGGTTGGGGCATATTGATCGTAGAAATGCTGGTGGTAATTCCTGGAATTCCACATGATTAAAAAGCTGGCCTCCTATGTGGGCCAGGAGAAAATCACTCGAAATAAGAGTTTCCCCAGAATGCCAATAACAACACTAAGATGCTATATATCCAGGGCACCTTTTACAATTTTAACGCACTTATATTGCCTAAATCTAGTTAAAAGTTGAAATATTTACGTTTTTACAGCCGAGCCGAAAACTTTTTGCGTTAGTTTCACCACTAAAATTCTTATCGATACGCACTGCTAAGCATATCGATGTTTAATGGTTCGGTGGTTATCGTCAGCGGTAACACTAAATATTGAGATTTTAGATTACGACCAGAGATGGCGCCACTGTGGCATGCTTTGACATAGACGTTATGTAATTTAAATGTAGATATTTAAATTAAAATGTTTTCCTTTGTATTCTATGGACACGCGGCTCTATTAACATATGCTTACTAAAAAATTAATAAATAAGTAGTCTAAATAAGAAAATCATTGAGATTCTATTATATTATATAGAGATAAAATAATTTTAGACAAGCTAAATATGAAAAATATATTTGGTAGTTCATCTACATTAGCTCCATAATCTGGGTAGACTTTAGGTAACGTTTAATAAAGTTGTGCACTTAATTTTAATTCCTACAGTTCTTAAGGTACAATATCTTTCGTTGCCGTCACTATAAATAAATAAATAAATAAATAAATAAATAAATAAATAAATAAGTAAATAAGTTATTGATTTTTCATAGCACTCACAGAGTTTTCAGTTGCTAAAGTCAATGCACAGTCTGTCTGACTGTATACCCCTTTATACCAACTCACACATTACTTTTAGTAACTTCCACCAATTTATAAAACAGCCCACAGGGATCTTTTCATAGCCAAAGTCGCCGCAAGAGACAAACAAACTGGAATTCAACCTGCACTAAACATTTAATAGCAACGCACACTAGACAGAGTAACTAATTAATATCTGCTGTATTGATCCAGACAGTAGCCGGTGATTTGGTCGGATATGCAGTCGAAGACATCAAAAGCCAGATCGCAGCTTTCACCTTTCTTGGGCAGCTCCTTGCGGTTGACTCCGTACCGGACGGTCATTGTCCGGAGGCAGAGGTTCACGGCCCGCAAAGTGGCCATGAAGAATCCATGTTCGTGAACTCCCTCGGAGTAAAAGTGGACCAGTCCGTCCAATGTGGGCCAGCCCTTCTGATCGATAGCATTATTCTTGGCATAAACGCAATGTAACAGGCACTGAAAATATGTACAAGTTTTGGTAAATAATGTAATGAATGTAAGGTAATACTTATAAGCAAATATGTCATAAAATTATAATAAGTGTAAACTGATGAGAAGAACCCCTTAAATAAATATTTTTATGTTGAGTTAAGAAGTCAAGATTGCAGATTAGTTTTATTACTTTAACAATAAAATACACTGAAATATCTATCTCATGAATTTTGTTTAATATTAAACTTCAGTAGATCCATTTGGATTTCTCACAATTGTCTTAGAGTTCAATATATGTTGATTTTTCCAGTGAAATTGAATTTTTCAACATAAATTTACCATATCCTTATCAAACCTCAAAACACTGTCACTTTGTTTTCTGTGTAGGAAGTAGAGGGCTTTATGTACATTCAATTTGCTGATGCATAAAGCCAGCTAATGTGTATTAAGTGCCGCCATAAAGTGCGCTTTTCAGCCATCAAATTCAGCATTGCTTGAGGTGTGCGAAAAATCTCCGACGGAGGCGTGTGATTTTGAATGCAACTGCGGCTGCCACAGCGACTGCGACTGCCACTGCGCTTTTCTTTCGATTGTCTAATAACCCTGACTTTAGGTTTTGCTGGGTGAGCTAAGGTGGGGGTGTAGCCAATTGTTTCTTGGGCTGCCATTGAACTTAATTGAGCGTAGTTTTTGCATTTCATTAACACGAGAAGAAAAGCGATCTACAAGTCTCGCAGAGGATTCCCTAAGCTAAGTCCAAACTTACCCCAGCAATTCTCTTGTCCTCTAGAGGCACCAAAGTAGGGTGATATATACCCGAACTGGTCACATCCAGGCGACGGATATTCCTCATGAGTCTGGCCACATGGCGATGTGGTTCGGGTTCATCGTAAACTATGTATTCGTAGTTGCTGATGTTGGGCGGATGATCTAGGGAAGAGCCTTCAGATGGCCAAATGAAGTCGATGGAGTCATCGTTGGGATCAATGGGCGGTTGATTGTGCGACACCTGCTCTTTGAGGATTTCATAGGCCTCTGTTGTAGGGGATTAGGCGTTTTTAACAAATGAAAACACTTAACCAATTTGAAGACTCACCATTAACCAACTTGTTGCGGACCTCATCCTGGCATTCCCTTATGACCGACTCCACTTTCCTGGCCGTTCTTGGTGGATTTAGGCACTTGGCCTTCTTCGTCTCGAAGCGAATTAGATATTCCACAGCATCGATCGATGCGATAACAACACTCGAGATATATAACAGTTGTGTAATCTTCATGGCTTCAATTAATTGGATACTCCAACTCCGAACCGAACGCCTGGGCTGCTGTCAAATGAATGTCCCCCGAAGAAATGGTCGCGATGAAAACGAAAGCATTTTCACTTTTTCGAGCCAACCTGGCAGGATGGCCCACACTCGCCACTTATGAATTTCCAGTTTTTCTGTTTTGCTCTATGGGTATGTGGTTCAATGGCAAACTGCAATTGCAACTGCCACAACTGGTTGCACATTTCCCATGCGTGCAGTCCGTTAGAAACTTGTCCTTAAAGCTCCGCCACATACATGCCTTTGAACATGGTCATTGGCAGCGGCCATATATCACGGCTATATTAGGTTTCGGGTTCCATTGTCTCTGCGGTTGTGCGATTACAATTCGGTTATGTTCAGAACGCTCTCGCTCCGATTGAGCGCACAATTAACCAATATGTGGTCTTCAGAAAACTCTTCCGCCTTCTGCCCAAATTTGCATATGGCCAAAAAAAACAACAGCCATTAAGATTATCAAAGGCGGCAGTGGATATGGGATATGGGCTGGTCAGAACTATAAAGTAATAACTATAACCAGAATTAAAGGCAGCCAAGCGGGGCGGTCTAATCAGAGGGCCTGACACATCCCAAGCCCCCACCGACTAGAACCCAGAACCCAGAACCCAAGAACAATGGCCAATAACTGTACTTGGAAGTGGCCAGCGTCGCCACGCTAATTATGCTTCATTAAAATGGCCAAGATCCTAGGCGGAAATTGTCATAAACTTCTCTGGTTCTCTCCTTCCAGCCGCCGACGGGTAATTGCCTTTAATTGCATATCGGCCCGAAAATTGCAGCTAAGACACTGACCTAGACTCGCTCTGGATCGAATTTGTAATAAGCCTAGGCTAACGGAAAATGGATAATGGAAAATTGAATTCGAGCCCCGGTGATGAAGTTCAATGTTCAGATTTTTCAGCTGGGTAGGGGAATTGTCAACAGGAAGCTCTCCAGGTTGCAAACTTCGGGGAACAAGAACAACGTGAGCTAATTGACAGACAGCTACACAGGCACGATTTTCCATTTTCCGTTTGCCATTTTCTCTTGACTCCCTGGCTTGCTCCCCTCCTTCCACAATCTGGCGAACAAGGAGCACCACAAAATAAACAACCCAGCTGCCTGGAGTGCAGCTGCAACAACACTTGCGTGTCCATCATTAGAACAAATTCTCTCACCTGAACTCCACCGCGCCCACCGCTCCCACCGCGCCCACCTTCCGCTTTTCTTGTAACGCAATTTGCACACAAATGCTGCTGTTTCATCTTCGTGGCTTTGGCTCTTTTTTGGTGGGTGGTCAGGTGAGACAAGTGGCGGCAGCACCACTAGCTACACTAGCACCACCACATAACACCGCACGAACCGCTCGCTGACTCGCCTGAGAATCGTATTTAAATACGAAGGTCTAACGCTGGATCGCATCAGTCGTCGTCGTCGCGTTGTTCTAGCCGTTAGCTCCTCCTAAAGACCACAAACCAAGTCGGAGTCTAAGTTGGGATTAAAGTTCGGTTTGGAGCTCGATCGGATCGGTTCAGGGCAATAGAAAGATATTTATTTGGTGACTGTGCCTGCAGCAGGATGCTCGCTTGAAGCAAGTTCCATCTCTGTGCTGGATTTAAACAAATGCGATTTGAAGATGCTGCATCTGCATCGGCACTTGAACTTCCTGTGGTTCCTCTGCTCTCTGTTGGGATACTTAGCAGATCCGGCGACAGCTGAGATCGAGTATAATACGATTAATGAGGACGGATCTTTTCAGTTTCGGTACAAAAATTATTGAAACATGAACTCTAAAATTCTTAAAGGATATATTTTAAAAGAGTGATTGACAAAGTGGTTCCATGCATGATCTGTGTATATTTGACCCATCACTTCCTTACTTTAATAAACATTTTCATATTGCAAGTGACTTGTGTTCTTAACCAATACATAAAAAAAATGCACATTAGAATTAGATTTTAATAACGGAAAGGATAAAGAACCCTTCCGAATAATACCAACCATTTCATTATATCAGTTTATCCATTTCGAATGTACAAATAAACCCCAGCCCAGCTTTCTTTATGTAATCATAATAATCTTAAAATATTTTATGTGTTTTTTAATCATAAAGCATTTTATGCTCTCTTTATTAATATGCTATGCTAAAAAAAATACGTTTTCATGCCACTCCCCTTTTGCCCAGTTAACTTCATTTAAAAAAGCGTAGAAAAGGGTGAAATCTTTAATAACGTTGAATTTGGAAGAAAAAGTTAAATATTCGATTTTGTCAAGCGATTCTACCTAACTTCTAACTATGACTAATACTATATAATTATATTATTTAAAAAATGAATCGAAAGACTTTCAATGTAATTGCAAACCATTGGAAACATCTCAATTAGCCTTCTTATTTAGCAGCCATGGGTCATAAATCTAACAAATCATCTAATCGGTCAATGATGTTTGCTACCTCACCATCACACTCGACCAAATTTGAGATTTTTAACACCTCTTTAACGCCTTAACGTTTTGTAACCACAAAAATAACACGCTTCCGACCATCTTTCCTCTCTCCCTCTCCATTTCGCACGCATGGGGCAACGCAATTACTTGTGCTTCGATGGAAACTCCGTTCCACTGGATAATGGACACTGCTGCTGCTGCTGCTGCTGCTGCCACCGATCGGCCAAAAGACATGCAAATGATGACATTGGAGGCTACTATCACAGCGCCTCGGGCACTCCGGACAACACGGTGCGAGGTCGCTACGGTTCGCGGAGTCCGGCGAGCGGACAGATCGAGGAGACCGTCTATACAGCCGGACCACGTGGGTGAGTAAACGAAGACGCCCAAGTCGAGTGAATAAAGTGCGGTGGTGCACTGAAAGAATATTTTATACAGTTTGAGATGGGATTATTACCATAAAATAGGTGATCAGTAATGATAGGTGATGGTAATGAAATTGTTCAAATCTAAATAGGAAGTTAAATGCTCCCGAAAAGACGCCAACCTTGAGTAGGTTCATTTAAAATGTAGCTCAATGTGAAAGGTAATTTCCTTAGGGAGGGTGTTATGTTCACTGATTTGTTTCCCAGTGTAATGACGGTGGAGGAAGTGGTAGCACAAAGTGAGTTATCTCCCCCCGATGTCAGAGTTGAGCTCATATATCAGTGGTTGGCAGCAGGCGGCGGCCACTGAAGCGAAACTCAAGCCAACGGGCGGTTCGGAGTTGGAGTCGTTCTAACACATTGGACTGTTTTTTGTGGGGTTGCCTAAACGTTTTTCCATTACCGCTTCGCTACTGTTGTTTTTTGCAATCTCCGGTAAATTGGGGGAAACAAAAAGCTGTTAACAAATTGACTGGCCTGAGAGTTCCGAGCAAAAACTATAGTATGGATTGGAGATTGTAGATGCTCAGCGATAGCGATGATTCTGAATGGGATCGTTCCCCTGAGATGTGGGGTAATCAAAGTAACGACGTGCCGGGTTCAGATCGGATCTATATTCCGAATTGCAGTGCGAATCCGCTTCCGCTGGGAGGGTTTACCCAATCTCCCATTCATTGTGATCGGCAGCTAATTAATCTCATCCAATTTCCCATACAGATTTCGCGTAAACGGACCGAAGATTCATCGGAAAATGGATCTGGCCCAGTATCCGGTATTGCCGCGAGGAAGTCCAGATGATCCGCTGGCTGATCCTTTTGATGATCCCTCCTACAGCTTCAGTTTCCGCACTCCGGATCAGTCGCGCAGTGAGGAGAATGATTCGGGTAATAGGATCAGAGGTGAGCTCGGACTTCGGATAAGTTCCTTATAATAACATTAACTTGACCTGTAAATTCTGTTAGGACTTTACTCATATCTGGACGACGTGGGCGAGCGGCATAGTGTTCGTTATGCAGCTGGAGCCGGAACTGGTTTCGAGATCTCCAATGCTGTCCCGGACAGTCCATCGACTGTGGCCTATTCCAGTCCTCTGTACAAGTCCCATCCCAAAACACGCGGAAAGATGGCCGTGCAAAGAGGACCGGCGGGTAGCTACAAGCTGATTGCATCCGGACCGGATCATAGAAGGGCTGAAAGCCGAGCTCCGGATGGTCTGGTGAGGGGCACATACTCCTTCCTGGACGACAAGGGCGTGCAGAGGACAGTGGAGTATATAGCAGGAGCAGGAATTGGCTACAGGGTGGTGCAAAACCGAATTGGTCCTGGCACCCATATCAATCCCTCTGTGGCTGATTTTCGTCTGGCAGATCCGGATTTCCGATTGGCTAATGATTTTGGTAGGGGTGCAGGTGGTGGCTTGGGTCCAAAGGGAGGAGGAAGCGGATCAAGTGGCCCAAGTGGTTCAGGCGGAGCAGTAGGATCAGGTGGAGGTGGCGGTGGAAGTGGAGGTGGATCGGGAAGGGGTCGCACTCCTGGCAGACCCGGCAGCAAAGAGTATCTGAAGCCAGCTGATAGCGGAAGGCCCAGAGATCAGGGGGAGGGAGATGCCGGGGCTTCGGATGATGATAATCTCGGATCTCATGATGGCAACGAAGGAGATGACATCGGGCCTAGCGGTAGTTCTTCTGGGTCCAGCAACTTTAACGGTAAAGAGGATCGCAGGGGATTCCCGGCGGGAAGTTCCCAACGGGGCAGTACTAGGTATGACGGCGGGGGTAGTAACTCTCAAAGAGGTGGAGGTGGTAGTGGTGGTTCCATAAGGACAAATGCAAGTGGGTCGAGAAACAGGAACCGATTTGGAAGCAGTGGAGGAAGTGCTTCCTCTGAAAGGGGAGCTGTAAGGGGAGAAGTAGCCGGTGGGGGAAGCAGTCGCCGAGGAGGTGGAGCCTCCAGCGAAGGCGACTCTGGCCTGGGCTACCTGCCGCCCACAGGTGGATCGGGCACTAGTGCCATCAGCGGACCCGGGGACAATTACCACCTCAACGATGAAGATGTGGGCAGTTCACTGCCGCCACTGGTCACTGCAAACCATCGAATTCTGGAGATCGATCGGGATCGGGAGTGGGTGCAAAGACATCGCGACTCCACCGTGATCAAAAATGTGGGTAAATGGTATGTGGGCTTGCCACCTGGCCAAAGTGTCCGTGCCCATGTCCAGAACATCGACATAGTTCCCCTGGGTGGAAGGATTGGTCTCTCCCCGTCAGAGGCACTGCGTCAAGATGAGATCGCCGAGCTGAATGCCTCCAGGGAGCACTAATCAGATACTCCCCCTCCACTGATTGGATCTGTAGTTCGTAGTGATCAGTAGCTCTAAGTGATCAGCGTTAAGTAACTGAAACTGGGTTGACTCCACCTGGAAACTGTAACAGTATTTAAAGCGGAATACATTTTATGTCTGTATCTGTGTATCAATCTGTGTCTTTAGCCAGAGGTTATATGATATCCGTGGAGGTTGCCATAAGCAGGTTGGTCTGCACATTGCGGTTTCCTTGGATCTCCATATAACCCCATGGAATGGCCTACCCTGGGTTTAGTTGGTTTTCAGATCTTACACAAGATGCTGCTGCTTTGGATTGGCTTGCTGGGAGTTTACAGTGCTCGAGGAGCCCAGGTTTATATGCAGTTTAATGGGCAAGGATACTCGTACAACACGGATAGCGAGAGGGTGGACAGGAGTATCGTTACCCCTGGTTATGGTGCTTCTTCCCTGGAAACCTTTGGTCCTTTGCAGTTTGTGCAGCAGGCTCTGAGAACCAGACATAACCCTCTGCCGACGATCTCCTATAACACCCAGGATAACCTGGCAATGGCAACCTCCTCGCTGAGCAGTGGCTACCATCCAGCCTTAGTTACTAACAACCTGAAGCCCCAGCACAGCCGCCAAAACTTTGATTTCAGCACCGACCAGATGTCACATGCCCAGCACACCGATGAGTCGGGAAACGTTTTGGGCAAGTACTCCTACTACGATGAGGCTGGCTACCATGAGCTGAGCTACAAGGCGGGCGCCGGCATCGGTTTCGTTGTCATGGGTGGCAATTTGGCCAAGGCCACCGCCGCTGAACCGCACTCGGAAATCGAAATCGGAAACGGAATCCAAACAAATGCCTTGACAAGCCTGCAAGAGTTGCATAAATATCGTGGCTACACGTAAATAAACAAATTACCTGAATTACCGCTCGTTCTACTTGGGTGTTTTTTTGGTTATTTAGTGGAACTATTCGGAGATCTGACAGTGTCAACTGTCGTGTCTGACATCTACGTGATCGGGGAACGCAACTGCAGTTAACTGGGGTCTAAAAATGTATGACTAGATCTGATATATAGGGCTGTGTTAATATGTCGCTTGGATGCCGTTTTATATCGCATTAAATTAAAAAAAAAGATGATCTCAACAAACTATGACTAAAAGATATACGATTTTCGTGTCACTTTCTTAGGAAGATCAATCTTTATATTGCTGATTAAAAGAAAGAGGATAAGGATATTATACCAAATGTCCTATGCGATATCAAACCACTTTAGAAAGTAAAAAGAGTGTTTTATCTTTCTATTATTTCAAAAGATTTGAATAAATAAAGTGACCATTTGATTTAGTTTACGTTGTCTTGCCCACAAAAGATTATTCTCTAAATCACAACCAGTAGTATTATCGACTTTCTTTACCTGTATTAAGTATAAACTAAATATAAATGTTCAGATTGTTATGCAATAGAAATAACTTGTAAAATTGCTTTCAATTAAAATTTTTGCATAAACTGGATAAAGCTAAACCATTGTCAGTTTCTGATCGTAAATGATTGAAAGAGCCTTAATTGCTTGTGGCGCGTGTCTTGGCCCGAGACAACTACTACGATTTATGCATTTTATAAGCCCTAATTGATTTTCCGCTCATAAAAATGGTTATTCGGTCATTTTACAAATGGCCAGTGCATCCCAAAGCCAAATTGAGTCACCTCTGTTTGGGTAATTTCTTGTCGGAAAGAGACCAAAATAAAACAACATTTGAAATGTTCGACGCGTGCCCGCACTTGCCAAATAATTTGAATCGAACGGAAAGCCTTGGCGTCCACATCGTGGCCTAAATAAATATATTTCTGGCCAGGCAAAACAAAGAAAAGCCTAAAAGCCTTAATAATATGCATATTTGGCGAAACAAAAAGTTATTACAGAGGCCAGGTTTGACCGAAAGTTTCACTGCCACTATTAAAAGTTGAATGTCAAGAGATCTAAGCGGTTAATTTCCCCGAAACAAGTTCCAACGCACTCGAAAACTTTCTTCAACGAATGCATTAAAACTAAAATGCTTGCCACTGACATAGATTCTATTTGGCCGGGTCTAGGGTTTGTATGGCTTATATTATGGCCACGTTCTCAGCGTTGGAATCAATGGCTCACCTGGGAAATAGCCGAGGTGCATAATTGGGTTAGCCTAGCAGCAGAACGGCCTGCATTGGAACCACAAATTACTGGGGCTCCAGCTCTCCCAGGTGCCAGTTAGCTGTTTCTCTTCATTATTCCCTCCTTTCCCTCTGCATAAGCAACGGCTTTGGGTTGGGATTCTCCTCCTCGCCGAAGGTCAGACTTAATTGGCCCGGGCCTAGGCAACGACATCCCACTAGCAGTCCCGTTTTTGCCTGCATTTATAAATAGGCCCCAAGGTCTCTGGGTCTTCGGTCTTGGGGCTTCGCTCTTCAACTTCTCCTCGACTGCTTGGGTTTCTGCTTGGGTTCGATTTATCGCCTTTTGATTGCTGCATTCCAATTGTGGATCAAGTGGTGGTGCGTGTGGCGCATTCGGGGTTTACAACGTGTGGCTGCTAATTTCGTATGCTCCCTCCGGCGCAGCACACTCGAAACCATAAATCTTGTGGCAATAAAATTGGTGCCCGCGTGTGCCCCAAAGGTCGACCACCAGCTCGATCCTGGTTAATCAAGAAATATGCATTATTGCTGCCTGCACTTCGGAATATCAGTAGCTGACCTGCGGCAGCGGGCATAAAAATCAATAAAAGAACAAATTGCAGTCGAATCACAGCACAGTTAATCAGGAAATTGATGGTTCTTTGGCTAATTAAGACTTTGGTCAGTGAAAGAAAACAAATGACTTAAGGCACGAACTCGAAAGGAAATCGATTTGCCTGATCTCAGACATTTGTAATTTATGATTACACATCGAAAACGGCCTGAAGCTTAAGCATTAATCCTGACATCTATTGATACCCGAGAAGTGTGTGAAGTCTTCATGCCGAATTGGTTGTCGAATCAGAAAAAGAACACAATTCTTGAGCCAACTGTGGGCTTTCTGCGAAACTTTCTAACGAGTTTCAGGCAAACATTTTAATTGAAATGCCCAACAACCCGGGCGATTCATTCATCACGGTAAGTCTCTTACCATTTTGGCTTATGTCATGTTTTTGGGGCCCGTTCCGAGCTGATTACCTCTCCACTTCCCACACGCACTTCGCTTCTATTCTCGTTGGCTCACTCCACTTGTAATGTCCAGACATCAGTTTGCCCCTGTCCAGTCGCAGTCACACTCAATCAAGCCAATAAACGGTCAATTAATCAAAGTCAGCACCGTGATTTTGGGTTCTGGCTTGTAGGTGCTAGGTGCGAAACAGTAGCCTGAAGAAGCCCCTTTCAGCACATCTAACAAGTTTCTGGCGAAATATGCGTTAAGTTGAGCAAACCATTTGCCTAGCCAAGGGAGGAGGAGAGAGCGGTAAGATCTCAATCTGTGAAATCCTAGAGTTGGAAGCCTGAATATCAATTGGAGTTGGTCTCCTAGAGCTGGTAACCAAAGCCCACAGATGCACGCCCCCAGATAGTAGCCAGGCCAAGGCGCTCGACTACGTGCCCGACTCTGGGATTTCTCTTTGGCTCTCTTTCTCTTTTTTATTCAAACCAAAAACCCAATTCTCTTACACCTGATCGGGCCCTGTTTTCTTGGCCATTTCTTTAGCTTCGTCGTTTGCATCGCTAATGGAAATGTTATAAACAGACGCGCTGGGCCCGGCCAGCACTCAGTTCATCTTCAGTCGTCGTCTGGCTCGCTGGCTCTTGGTTCTTGGTAGGAGTTCCATTTCCAGTCCCTATTCATTGTGCGTGACAAAAAAGAACAAAAGAACTCAGACCTGAAACAATCGTAAATTGAAAGCCCAACAGGATTGGCTTTTAGTGCTAGCGTGTGTGTGATTTTTCCGTGTGATTACCCTGAGTGCCACTCATTCCGTTTCTCGTTTGCAGTTCAAGGATATAGTGTCAAGGCGAGGATTGGTCAGCAAACGACCGGGAATTTTAGCAAAAAATATCGCAAGCTATTCACCAGAACTAAGCATTAAAATGCGTTTCATTGCTGTAAGTAGATCCAAGAAAAGAGAAAATTAAGTTCTTCTTAAAACTCATTCAGTTTTTGGGAATTGGAAACGAAACTAGTTTATACCTGACCGCAATTAATCATTTATTGCTCTGTGCCGCCGTTGAACTCATTAACTTGTCAACTGGCCCAAGTTCGTGCCTTGAGTCTTTCGTTTCTTTCACTTCTGAATTGAAATGAACTTTCACTAAGCGACATTTTTGGTTCTTGGCTCGATTCTTGGCTTCTTCTGGCCACGGAAATTAGCCTTAATTATGTTCTGTGCCATATGCAAATATTATTAAAGTCTTTTTTTGGCATTATAATCAGAAATCAATTTGGATGCTAAGAACTCTATTTTGGTTATTTATTTAATAATTCAAAAGGTTAAAAGCTCTTTGTGCTAGTTATTGTTTCTTCGGCTAAAAGGGTTTCCATAGACTTAATCCCTTTTGAAAAGTGAAAACCTTTTGGTCAGTCTATGAGAACGTGACAATATTCCAGCCCCACCCCAATTTAAAAAGTGAGAATGATTCATTCCGCATAATCCCTTGCATTATTCATATTCCCTTTATGAGAAGTATGCCCTTAAAAGTCAAGCCCCGTCAGCGCCTGGCTCATAAGGAACAATCCCCATTCAATTATAACCATAACCAATAACCCATACATATATTGAAAAGCCCAAAAATTAATTACGACTCGAAGAACATTAAATTAATATGCCACAAACGTAAGGAAATCATGCGTGGGCTAACAAATGGTAATAAAAGCCTTCTTTCTCCCAACCCACAGCCAAACAATCGTCCACGTTTGTGTGTGGGGTTCTGAGGCTATAAGTGCATTGGTTTGTTTTCTGGTTTATTATCGCGTTGATAGTGGTTCATAAATTAATCAATTTATGAGTATCAACAACAGTTAAACCACACGCCCCAAGTCTATCAATCTCAGCTCAATTAGCTCCAGCCGAATGTCTCTGGTATATCATTTAAGACCAAGAGACACCTGATCGGATGAAAAGAACAGGAGACGGACACATTTAATATCTTGTTTGAGAACATAAAACGCAGCGCTTAAACTTTGCATTCGAGCCATTAACCCAGTTTATTTTTGGACAAGACAACGAGACACACCCGATGCGGGTTTGGAATGGGCGGGCAATATAATAAATAAGCCAATACATACTCACGAAAGAAAGCAGACAGAAATACATCTTAAATACTCGTACATCGGCGATGCAAGAGATCTTGCAAATCAATGACAACCAGGTTCGACAGCCTCTTGGCCAGAATCGAATATATATTCTTTTTTCTCTCAAGTTACGCTTTGGCCCGAAATCGTAACAGACGCCTAGAGGTTCAGGTCAATGACACAACACGAGCCCCGACTTCAGATCCAGCTTTGGCTTTAGTTTTTGGCCCACAGCTTGAGCTTTGCCTGGGTCTCAGTTCCTCTCGGCTTAGTGACATTTCGGTGGTGATAGATGGGCGTGCGGGCTGGTCGTTTCCACCGGCTAACGGTTGCGTCAATATTGACTTTGCCAAAGATGTGGAGAGCCGGCGAGAGTGAGTCAAATATTTGCCGATCGTGAGGTTCTTGACAATCATGTTCGAGGGAAAATCCGTTGAGTACTTGTTGAGGCCTTCTTTGCCAGCTGGCTCTCACTTTTCGGCTCAGTTCTGAGCTCCAGAAAGAAATTATGCAAATGAATGCTCCCCCAGAGCTAAGAGAAAGACTTTCGCGAGGGATTCGACCGCATTCCATTCGTGTATTTTTTGTATCTGTTACGACATCGGAATACTGAGAACCGTATCTAAACCTATTCAGAGGAATACATCATCAATCACTTATCTATTGTCACGCATTTATCTTACAGCTATCAACACTGCTTCTGGCCTCTTTGGCCCTCAGCCAGGCCCAGCAACCCGGTGGACTGGCCGTCGAGTAAGTAGTCTAGTAACTAGTTACCCAGTCCTATGACCCCAATTAACAAATGCCTTGCCTGCCAACTGTGACTGTGTCAACGCTAATGCTCATTTCAAGTAGAAGTTGATGCGCTCGCCTAGAACTTTGTGACTAAACCCCAAAAGCCCTGACTTGTGACTAACCCTAAAACTCATTGCCCCCACAACCCAACAACAACACATTCCCCTGCATTAGCAACTAAAAGCTAACTTCACCAACAGAGAGAGACCACCAAACAAAACCCACTTTCGTTTGCAGAATACAGAAGCAGCGGCTGATCAAATTTCCCGAGGAGTTTGAGCCCAATGGGGCGCCTCCCTCCTCGGAAAAGGCGGACGAGGCCAAGCGCATCCTCGAGCAGATAGCCAAGGTCAACGAGGCCTTTGGCTATGTAAAGAAGCAGCCGGAGCAGCCCAAGCTGCCACCGATCCTAGACTCCAGTCAATACCTATTCCCCAAGCCCGCTCATCAGCCATTCCATGCCCATCAGCACCACTTTTCGGGGAGTAATGGTCAGACCTTACTAGAACCCTCAATTAGGGCGGTAAAACTCACCAGGAATGTGGCTGGCAGCTATAATGTGCCTCCCAGATTGCGTCAGGCAGTTGAGAGCTCCTCCAAGGAGGAGAAGAAAACCCAGCTGTACTTCAGACCCAACCAGGTGGAGGTACCCAAACCAAGCACCCCACAAGAAGCTCAACTGCTGCCCGCCCACTTTGTGATTCCCGTCCATCTGCACAAACTCAATAAGGACCAGTATCTGAAGGAACACGCCTCGCAGGAGTATAAGGTTAAGGGATACAAAATCATAGGCGATGTGGACAGCTTCTATGGCAAGGCAAAGGTTGGAAGAAAAAAAGGCAAGACCACGCCCAAGTATCACTTGTTCTTCCTGCCCCGAGAATTGGCTCTCAATGAAGATGGCACACCAAAGAGGGGTAACTCTACCACCATAGGAACCACTACCACAAAGTCGCCTGCTCCTCAAAACTTCAAGGAATATCGGTTGGATTCCAGGGAGAAGCCTGTCCATAAGCCACAGAAGGTTCAGCCCAGTTTGGCGCCTGAATTGATTACCTTAAACTCTTTGAATAGGAAAAAGGTTGGCACTACGGCGAAGCCTGTGCGCTTGAGTGGAAAAGAAGCTGAACAGCAAATATCCCAGGGCTCATCCTCCTTGAACATCAAGGCCACATCTGCTCCTGTCTTGCTAAGCTCAACTTTACCGCCATCTGGTGGCCTTTTACCCAATCGCAATCGCTTGAATCCTTTCCGCATGCCCGGAATGAACATAGCTGAGATGCAGAACCAAACCTCGGCGGCCATCAAGAACGCCTTCCAAAACATCTTCAAGTTGCCCTTCCGACCTCCAATGGCAGCTACAAATGGAGAAGTTCCTGTGATCGTGGGCAATGTCCCCCAGAAAAATCACTCAATAGATTCGGCTGATTATAAGTGGGATGATGAGAACGAGGGCGCTGGCGATGGGATGTCGGATGATGTGGATACCGTAGAGGACACCGCTGCGGAATTGGACACTAGTTCATCCTCGGAGAAACACCTTTTTGCCCACAAAGCCCATCATTTGATGCACACTGTAGGCCAGGTGGCCACCGCGCAACAGAGTACCCAAAAGCAGGCACTTCGCGAGGGAGGAATCATCATTCAGCGGCTTAAGGTGCGCAAGGGCGGTATTGCCATCGCAGGTCCTGGGGGCGTGGCCACGGCGGGTAGCGGTGGAACGGCGATTGTGGGTCCCGGAGGCTATGCCCTCACCCATCCACGTAGCTTGACCATCGCAGGTCCCGGGGCCAAGGTCATCTCTATACCGGCGAATGTGGACCTGAAAGATGCCCTGGCACGCACCGATCTGGAGACGAGAAGTTTTCCGCGGGAGGGAAAGATAGTGGCCACGGGACCAACGGTCTACTATGCCCCACCCACGGGCACAACGACAATGGAGGCGGATCTGGGGGCGGGACTGGAGACGGGCCAGTTTGAGTCTGAGGCTTAACCTAATAGCTATTACTTAGCATCTTTAGTTAGGATCTATATAGTTGGTATTGTTTAGTATTCTAATAAATCTTTGTATTTCGTAAATGTTTGGGCTTTTGCTTTCATCCTAAAAACTGTATATAGTAGATATGTATATGTACATATATCCTCCCATTAACCCTCACGTATCCCGCATGACATTAACCCGTCACAGTTTTAACCCCTCGAATTGTTGCTGTAAATATTATCAGACTAACCGGCGGCTCTCTCCACCATCTTCCCTATGCTATCCATAAAACCAAAACTATCCTAACCCAAGTGCCTACTGGCGAACCGCCAACATCGAGGCCTGGCCACCAGGAGCACCAGTTGCACCCGTTGCAGAGAGGTCTGGAAAACTAATTGCAGGATCAGCTCCGGTCCAGCAACTCACGCCCTATGGAGCCTACCAGCCTGTGCTGCTAAATACTCCATACTACACCGCTTACCAACTGCCGTTGGCTTATGTTGTACAACAACCCACCACGGCAAATGCCGAACAAGCCACCACAGCAGGTACCACAACCACTACCACAACAGGCAGGCCAGAAAGCTTAGCCGAGGACACCTCCAGTGAGATCGAAAAACCAGAAAAGCTACAGGCTCTGCCTGCAGAGAAGACACAAACCACTGGCGATCTGAAGAGCGATGTGGGTCTCCGCTCAGCGGTTAGCAAGATAAACCCCGACTATGTGATCGAAGAGATTATTCCAGTACCTGGCAAATTAGTGATCTCCACTTCAGGTTCACCCCTGTCTTCCAAGCAGCAATTGAAGAAGATTGCCCCACAGAAGTTGAGAAAGCAGGCGGGTGGAAGAGTTCCCGTCAAAGTGGAAGCCACCGGAAAGACCAGCACCAGTTCTGGTAACTTCCCACAGATCCCTTTTGGCAATTACTTCTTGCCCTACAGGCCAGAACAGGCTCAGGCGATCCAGGGACGTAAACAGGCAGCTCTCGTCCTGGAACCTCATTCCAAAGCGGTGGTGGGAAATGGTGGCACTGCCATATCCACGCCCATTTCCAAGGCGTATCTGAAGAAGGGTGTGCCCACTAATGTTTACTTCAATCCGGAATCGGTGGCCATAGCTGGTGTGGGTGGCAAGGCACATGCCACTGCGGATCTGGAATTGGATCTGTTCACGTAAAGATGCAGCAAGGCAGGCATCTAAGTTAATTACTGACACGTTTTCTTTAAGCAATTTCTTAGTTTAATTTTCAAAATTAACTCGAGTTTCAAATCTCAAAGTTCCCAAGAAAGTTCACCCAAGAAATTGGTTACTGAAAGTGTGCCTTATGATATAGTTCATCCAACTGAAGCTGAATGGTAGTTCCTTCTGGCAGCTATCCTATGTTCCTATGTTAAGAACAGAGGCCTACAACATGTGTCATTTCCTAGACTGTAAATAAAGTAAAACGTAAAATGTACAGCTTTCGCCTTGGGTCATTAAGTAGTCCGCTAATCCCTTGTAGATATTCCGATGCTTTTCCAACTCCCCGCTTTCTCCAGGCAACTCCCAACACTTCCAAACACTCACTCAACACACACTCTCTATAACCGAATCTAACCCCAAACAAGCAGACACAGATCGAGGGCGGCTCCGCTGGTCTTCGAGGAGCATCCGTACTATGGAGGATTGAGGGGTCAACTCCTCCAGTTACGTCCACAGAGGGACGGCAGCCTGGGTAGCTTCATCCTGCAGCGTCAGCAGCCGCAGGTTAGAGCTGTTACCAGGGATTCCGATGACACAATCACCATTTCGGCGGCCAGCATCTCGGCCATTGCTGATGGCAACGGAGCTAGTAGCTCCAGCAACTCGATCTCGGCCAGCGCCAGTGACTTCAACAGGATTCAGTTGGCCGCTGCTCGATTGGTTGCCATCCAGGAGATGGCCAAGCGGAAGGGATCTTTCAGCGAGGAGGACAACAAGGTTTATGCCAGCAGCCTTCTTGAACTGGGACAAGCTGCTCAGAGCTTGGCGCTGCTTCAGCAAACCGGACAGATCAAGGACTTCAGTGTCCTGCTGCAGCCGGATATGTTTGGCAATCCCCAGAAACAGCCCTCAAACTTTGGCCTTGAGGCCACCAACAATCCGGCGGATCAGAAGATCGACGAACAGAAACTGGATGAGGTCACCGAACAGCAGTTCTCGCCGGACGAGCAGTTCCTGCCACCCAACAATGAGGATCCCTATGAGGATGTCAATGATAGCGTTTCCGTGATGGCTCCCAAGAAAGATGCCGCTGTGGCCGAAGCAAAACCAGTTGGTGAGTTTTTTAAAACTTTCTTCAAGGAAAGATATCAGAACTTACCTCTCAAACTCTTTTTTAAGGTCTCTCGATTGCCGGTGAAGGTGGTGTGGCCTCCTCCAAACCAAATGCCGTGGCCCTTTCCGGTCGAAATGGCTTGGCCGTAGCCTCGCCCAAGGCCACAGCCATTGCTGGGGTTTCTCCCGAAGAGGCAGCTGCCTTCAGCATCTCCTTGCCCACTCGGAACCAACTGGTGATCAAGAGTCCCAACTTCGCATCGGAGAAAGCCAGCGATGATTATGACTACAACGATATGCCTTTGACCTTGGCCCGCTTCCCTTTGACCCGGGAAACTCCACAGCAACTGGTGCCGGTTCGCATCTCTGGAGGAGATTCCCTGGTGGAGCGGTGGCGCACTGCCATCGCTGAAGATTATGCCGCCAGACAGGCTCAGGTTAAGGTGGCCACAGCTCCACCAACGCCCTTCATCCGTATGGCCCCCAAGCGACGTCTTCACTCGGAATAGGAATGATGCTCACCAGATGATTGCCATTACCAGAGATTGAAATTGGATTGGACTTGATCGCAATGAGATTTATAGAATACGTTGTACAACCTTTTGTGTGCCAGCTCCCGAATTGCCAATAAAATTTGCCTATTTAATTGAATTTATTTGAGATTTTATTGGTTGGTCTATTGAGTGGTATATAAAGATTAATGTATAGGATGTTTTTTTATTCGAATAATATTCTTGTGGCATTAAATTTTAAATATGATTTCTCGTATATGATCGCCACGGCTGGCTCGGATGTAGTCCAATCTGGACGTCCAAGTTTCGATGACTTTTTCTAACATCCAAATGGTCAAGCGGTTGTGGCTTATCCAAATAGACCAATGACATTACTTAGCACCACAGAAAGTAGTCTAGCGCCGTTAAATCACAAGATCTTGGAGGGCAATTCACAGGTCCAAAACGTGAAATTAGGTGGACGATAAAATGGACGTAGTGCGCGATACGTATTTCGCACAGAACTATTATTTTCAAAATAAAATTGAAGGCGTTGTTCAGGCATGAGTCTATTTATGATGAATTGCCAAGCCAACCTTAGAATAAATCACTTGACAGCTATTAAATCGGTTGCCACCTTGGACAGTAATGCCAACTTAAAGTTCTATACTTCTATGAAAACACCATTTATAAAAAAATGTTAATCCACGACTGAAACTGTTCAAATTTCTTCAAACTTTTTGTAACCCTTAATGGGATTTTATGTAAGAAAACATATCGATTGGCCATTTAAAAATCTTTTGACTTTTACAGCAATGTTTGACCACCTACTGCGTTAGTTTAACTAAGATAGGTCTACACACCTCTTTAAAATGCCATTAACTTAACATAACATTAATAGATGGGTACGGATCGTTAATTATCCTTGATGGTTTTCCCCCTTGGAAGAGCAAAACCACATTGATGACCAGAAGAAGGGGACATCGAACTAGAAGTTTCTAGACCCTGCCATCGCACTTTCAAATCAAAGACCACAAATAGCCAGCCAAGATCATATGAAGACGGTGACAGAGAACCATGGCTATGAATCTAATTGCTGCGGGAAGTGATTACAGTTTATAACGAAAATAAATTTATTTATGCGAATGTGCAGAGCGAAAATCTCAGGCGTACTGAATGCAAGCATGTGCAAATCTTGATTAATCTTTTCCGCCAGGGCAGGCAACATGAAAATAAATTATCTAAGCGGGCAGCGGATGGAGGGGGGCGATCAGGGGCAGGATGGAACGCATTCAATTTGCACCTGAACCAGTTGGCTCCATCCACTATCCCAGAACCTTTTCCCGTCAATGCGGCTTCAATGCGATCGCCCATGCCATGCTTGACTTCTATTACGCGGCAGGTTTAACAAACTTGAGAGCCTCAGAACTTGGCCGAGACCAAAAACGATACCAACACCGCGACCAAGACCAAGACGGCATCTACGTTGACCATCTGCCATCTGCAAGCGAACCTGAAACCAGAAAGTATCTGCTGCTAGCCAGCTTTGTTGGCTTTTCAGGCTCCTTTTGGCCAGCGGCCGACCCGTTTCCCCTTTGCTTTTCCTGCGGGAAGCTGCACATTTCCAGTTCTATCAGTTCTTCAGCTCTTTGTTCTTGGCCTAGGTCAGGGTAAGGGGTCTGTGGCCGCACATTATAAAAGGCCATGGCCGGGCAGCGTTGGCCACCAGTTTCCTTGAAGTGGTCGCCGTGTTAACACTGAAGACTGAGCCCTTCCACAGACACTCTGCCATTGTGTTCAGACTGACTAGTGATAATTTAGATTCTTCTTCTCGAGCGGATTGCGTATCGTGTGGCCATAAGTGAACTCTGCCAAACTACCTGCCAGCAGTGAAAGGCCATCAAACTACTAAAAGGTAAGTCATTCAATTCACATTTACGTTCCTCTCGGGGTCGAGAAAGTTATGCCTAGGCTTAGTTCTGATAGTTAAACTTAATTCGAGCTGGTTTCGCTAAGCTCTTAAACTCCTTTTATGGGGTCACAGAAGAACAGCTATATTATGCTACTGATGCAGACGTCTGGTCAAGCTATAAAATCTTTGGAAGAAAGTAAAATCATCAGAGACTGAGAGCTGAAGCAATCTTAAGAGTTCACATGACATTCTTTCAGATTTAACGGGAGCTAACCAGAAAAAATTCTAACCAACCGCAATTTCACATGTAAACTACTCTTTAGTTGTTGGTTTTTGCTAGTATCTGTATTCTTATTCTGTGGTTTGATCTGTGGAGAAATAACGCTATACCCAAATTGTGAATTTTCCGACAAATTTATTAAGTTTAAAAAGAAGTTCACAAAATGCTGAGTGAAGTGATTGGTTTATATTGAAACATTAAAATTGATATTCCAAAAATAATTTTCTACAACCCATTTAGTTATTCTGTTTAAAGCCGATTTCTTCTGTTTAAAGCTGAAATTAAACCTATTAAAAGGTTACAGCCTTTAGATATTTGTACATAAGAAGTCAACTTAAAAGTAATTAAAAACTTAGGAAACTTTGTCCCAACCTTTGCCCAAGCCAATTGTTGTATTAAATTGGATTGTATATCAAATTTAAATGGAAACAGCGAGGTTAAAATATTTATCCACAATCTATTTAATCAGTTTAAAGCATTCAGCGAAACAAGTAGGATCAATAAGAAGTTTTCCTCAAACCTCAAGAACATTTTCCTTGCTCACAAACAATAGACTTACGCAACGAACTTGGCTAGTACCTGGACCACACAAAGAACATTCTTCGGGGGTTGGGGTAACGACAAACTTGACTATCAAGTACCGATTTAAGCCATAAAGCTGCTCCCTGCCATTAGCTAGTATCTACACTAGAAGTGCTTGGCAAAGAAGTTCCAATGGCCAGGCCAATCAATTGGACAAACCGGTTGATAGTCCCTCGATCCATGTACGTACTAGGAGCATCCTGTCCAACCAGGCAACATGCAATTACACACACAGTCACGCAGAATAACGTTAAATTTAGAATGGACTTTGGTGCAGTGGCAGGAGAATGGCTAAAAATAGCCCATAGGCTATACCTGTTTGCAACACTTTGGGGCAACATTATAATAATGACACGGTTGAGCTTCTTCAACCCCAAAGCGAACATTGTGTAACTGAAAGCCTCTAATTAAGAAGTTATCAAGGTGATCTTAGTTTTAATCATAGTTTAATGACAGTGATCCATCTATATCTGAGGTGATGATATTCTTTAAGGTATCCCAATATATTAACTTAAACTAGCTTTAATATTTATTTCAATAAGGAATATTTTAAGATATAGATGTAAACAAATTAAATATTAATTTGTAATATTTGTAAGATCTATAAGATCTCTATGTTCTTTCGACCGACCTATAATCATCCCCCTTTTTCCAGAATGTTCCTTCTCGCGGCCTTTTGCCTGGCCCTGACGGCGATGGGTGGTCAGGCCAGGCCGCTGGAGCCCACGGCCCAGCACATCGTGATCGTGACGCCGCAGGCTCAGGTTCACCTGGAGCCAGCTCTTCGCTATGTCCATGGCCTATCGCCTTTGGCCCGTGTGGCCTCGCCGCATCACCATGAGGAGACCATCGTGTATGTCCCGGCCGGAACTGCTGCCCAGGTGGTGCCAGTAGTGGATACCGTGGGATCCGGTCGTGCTGGAGGTGCGCCGGAGACCAAGCAGTGGGAGAATACAGGCGAGATTGCCAACCAGATCCAGCAGGTTTCCCAACAGGGCGTCGAGATCGTGAGCGGACAGTTGAGCGAGGCGGCAGCATCAGCAGCCTCCGCCGGAGCGGGCTTCTTCCCTTCACTGTTCCCACCAAGTGGCTCCAAGAAGGAGGAGCAACTGTTACAGGGTTTGAAGACCGAGAAGATTGAGCTGATCGAAACGCCAGCCAACACCCAGCCATTGATTGCCACCGAGGCTCGCCATTTCTATAGCATTCCCCAGGTCTACCATACTCCAGTGGTTGATGTGGTCCATGGTCCCGTCTATACCTGGCCTATTTCTGCTATCCGGGCCCGTAGCATCCAGCAAGAACCGGAACCGGAGCTGACGGCTTCCGAACCTAGTCTAAAGCAAGCCTTAAAGGCTGAGCCGCAAGCGGAGATTCAGCCAGAACCACAAGCCCTGCTGAAGGAACAGCCCTTATTGAAGGAGCAACCGCAACCTCTGCTGAAGGAACAGCCCTTGGAACAACCTGCTCAGGAACAGAAGCCTCTCATTCCAGAAGCTAGCGAGCAGAAGTCCGAGTTCGCCGGGCGCCTCCTGGAGAGCAATGCCATCAAGCAGGAGCTAAAAGGTGCTGAGATCGCAAAGGAGCCACTGAAAGAAGAAGGTAAGTGCCTATGTCTGAGGTATTTGAATTCATTTGACCACGTTATTCTACCACAGCAGCCAAAATTCAGCAGGAGGAGCTTATTAAGACCATTCAGGCTGAGCCGTTGGCCGAAACTATCCAGGCTGAGCCCCTGACCAAGACTCTTCCCGTTGCGGCCATCCAGGCCGAGCAGCCGAAGCAGCAGGAGATCCAGCAGATCATTCCTGCGCAGACAGCCGAGATCATCGCCGATGCCATTGTGCCGCAGGCTTAAAGCCGCGACCGGAACCAGAACTCATCTCTGAATCTCAATCATCCCTTGGGCAGCTTTGGTTCTTCGACTGATTCTCATCGCTGGCCCGTCACAAATATGACCGGGCCATGGGGTTTCCCCTCATCCATAACCACCCACCAATCGTACATTTAATTACTAACACAGAACGCACACGCATCATCCGCAAACATTTTCCATTTTCCAGACATTAATTAACAGAAGCGAAACGAGCAAGAGACATTCATTCATAATTATCATCACGAAACGTTCGTATTCATCATCATCATTACATATTCATTAACCATAACATTGAAAACGTAAAACAGAACAATAAAAAGTGAATGTAAAATGTAGATAGAGGGGAGTGAAAACTCTGTATGGGTTGGGAATCGTGGGAAAACTTTGTTCTTTATCGGTTCTTAAGATCTGAAGATCTTAAAAATTTATTATTGAGGCTCTTAAAGGTTTTATGACCTAAAATCATTATTTATATAAACTTATAGTATTAAATAAGTATCATATATGGAAATCTACTTCTCTGTTGTGCAATGACAATGACCCCCAAAAAGTCCGCAAAGCTTCTTGCGCAGTCCGGCAACGGCAAATTCCCAGGCAACATAAAAACTATATTGCAACTATTACACGGTCGGGTAAATAAAATCATAAATTGCGCGACTCACACTGCTGCATACAAAGTAACCCCGAGACGTGCCCCGATATTTGCGAATGAAGGGTTAAATATAACCAAAAATTATTTTGAGTACGGCACTTTTATTGACTTACATAGCTAGGGGAATAAATACGTAATAAATAGAGCGATGACTAATCCGTATCATCCCCCACTGTGATGTAGGCGTCCTGCTCTCCTATGACTATCAGATCCTCATCGTCCTCCGCTTTTACAGTAGTTAATTCCGGAATGTCCTCCGTCGGTTTGGTGGTAAGTTCAACCCGCTGCAGGGGCTTGCTCGTATCCGTATAGCGGTAAACCGAAAAATAAGTTTGAATGCGTTGGATTATATTTTCCAAGATTGGCGGAAACTTGTGCTCCACTCCATCGCCATAGATTTTAAATTCCAATCTGGTCTCGCCACCATTGTCCGAAATCTTGGAGGGATTGAGCTTAAGTGCTTGAAGAACTCCCTTCAGCATGAGTAGGTTCTGTAGGTTACTGCCACTCTGATTGGGAGCTCTCTTGAGGATCAATGAACCATTGGGCCTTAGCTCCAGGTAACCAAATTTCTCCGTATCCAAGGGCAGGGCTTGATTCGACTCTATGGCGCTTTTAACCAAGGTCAGTGGAAGAATGGCTGCTTGAAGGGCAGTGGAGATCAGTCCCAATCCCAGCGTGATATAGATTAACTGCATCTCTGGAGGTTTCTTGATGATCCGCTCTGGCCCTGGCCTGTGGTTGCACTAATTTGGGCTTCGCCCTGGCCAACGAACTTATTCCAACTGCTGCGTTTTTTCTCCACATTTTACCACTTTTTTGTACGCATTTTGAGTGTAATCGCGTACTGTTTGTATTTGCCTTTGTTCGATTTGGTTAGCCTCTTGACTTGACTTAACTTGGCTTGGCTTGGCACACGGCCAATATGCCCAAACCCAACATTGAGACGTGCCCTGAGCACTCGCTGCGCTTTGGTTTTGAGCTGTTTCAAATGTTTGAGTTACTTATTTGCATTTATTTGTCAATTTTCTGTTATATTATTCTCTCTACTGACTGGCCCCGAAACCGAGGTGTATTGCCAATATCGACTGAGTGGCGTGCAGTGAAAGTGTTATATTTTCCAAAAAGAGATGAAAGGGGATTACAGTCTCCCACTATATACAAAATACTTCATGACCTCAAAGAAAAATTATCATTTAAAAGAAATGCTGAAGCACTCAATTTTAAAGGATAAGTAAGCAAAATGTCAGCATTGACTGAGCGCAATCTTCTTTTCTCGTTGCTGTTTTGTTTCTTGCAAAAGGGTAAGGTATCATTTACTTATTAATACTCTTATTACTCACTAGTACACTAGCTTATGTTCAATAAAAAGTTTTAAAAGCTTAAACTTCATTAAAATTTTAATAAAGAAGGGAAATCTTGCAACCCTTAACAGTAACAAAGTTTTAGGATAATTAAAATTTTTAGGTTTTTATGTTTAGGTCAACTAAGTTATTTCAATGTACACTTAACAGTTCAGTAAAAACCAGAGCAATGTTAAGGCAATGTTAAACTAAGCTCAGACTTTTACCAACCAGTCTGGCAACTCTATCGAGCAAACAAACCTGGCTAAAGTTCAAATGTGGTCAGTGGTCAGCAAGAAAACTGATAAAACAGTTTACAGCAAATGGAGAAATAAATATTTTAGTTGTTTTAAATAATTTTTCAGTCTTACCAAGATATAAAGTTTACTAACCACAACCATTCATTAAAACAAAACGCCTTTCGTTGATAATTTATTAATTTATTTAGATTGAATTTCATTAAATAGTTAAGGACATTGATATAATGTTGTGTCGCAATTATCATTATTATTTGTGTTGTTGTGTATGTGTGTGTGTTTGTGTGTATTTAGTGCTTGAAGTAAGCGGAGTCTCCAACATTCGTAGAAGAACAAAAATATCGAAAACTGAAAAAATAATATAAACTAAACAATTAAATTGCTAGGACTTGTGTCTGTGTGTGCGTGTGTGTTGTTGTTGTTGTTGTTGTTGCTGTTTAATAAACATACAATACATATCAAACATAAATCGTGTGTGGTTTTTAATACAATAGAATTGTTTAGAACGGAAACTCTCGTCGTCGCTTGGTTAAAACTTAAAATAAATAAATAAACATACATTTTTCAATGTGGCAACAATAGTTACAATTGGTTCAGTATTTCATATTGTTTTTTTTTTATGTTTTTCCATTTTTTTGCTTGTTTTAGTTTAGTGATTTTGATTTCGTTCTGAAATGCAATTACAAATAATAAGTTTCTATACAATCTGATGTGCGGCTGCTGCTCTCTACTCGGTGCGAAGATAAAGCAAAGTTAACATCGATTCTTAGCTAACTCTAACTCTTGACTTGAAGTTTTACAAAATTTGATTTGCTTTTGATTTAGTAGGACTCATCAACATCTTCAGCTCCTGGCTCAGCTAATTTCTCTCATATCTAATGTAAGTGTAAGGCATTATCTTCTCTTGTATATCGTTTTAATACATGTGTATAATATATCTTTTACTCCATCGTTTTTTTCACTTGTATCCCTCTGATTTGATCCATAATTTCGTTGAATTTGTTTATGGCTAATTTAAGCTTGCTGCTCCACAGCTCTCCTCCTGACTCCACATCCTGACTCGTTGCAGTTGGCTTACATCAGCTTCTGCTTGGCACAATCGGGGCACAGAATGTCGGGTCCGTCGGTGATGAAGCCGCGGCCCACGAGACTAGCCTTGCAGCTGGCACACACGAAGCAGTCGTGGTGCCAGTGGCGATCCTCAAACGAGATAAAGCGTGTGCCGCCAATTCCTAATGATGAAAAGGGGTATTTAATCAGTTTTTGTTTCTACAAATAGTGGCTAGCAAACTCACCTGTTATGGGCTTCACACAGGCCGTGCAACGTTTGGCAAACAACTCGCCAAAGCACTCGGCGCAATAGGGCTTCTCATCGCGGCTGGTGAATCGCTGGCCAGCTAGCGTGATGTTGCAATGGGTGCACGTAAAGCACTCGCGATGCCACGGCTCGTTCTTGTAGGTAACACCGCCAGAGGTGATGACCTAACGAAGAGAAAGTTAAGATTTGATTATAAACTCTAGGTAGAAGTTAGATTTATCTTATTTTCCCTACCTTATTGCACTTGATGCAGCGCGTGGCAAACTTCTCCTCGTAGCAGCCGGCGCAGTAAATCTCCTGCTCCCGCGGGATGAAGGACTTGGTCCCGATGGCCGTCTTGCAGACGCAGCAGCAGAAGCAGTTCTCGTGCCATTGCCTGGTTTTGTACTCCATCTTCTTGGTACCTAAGAAGGTTAAAGAAACAGGAAGAATAAAAATCAATCCAAGTCAAAATCAATTTCCGCCTAGCAAAGGCCTTGAACCTTGAACTTTGTCAACCCACTAACCCAGCTGCGGATCCCATCAATTCAATCTGAGGGAAAACTCAATTTCAGACAACGACAGATTGAGGGCAGAGTCAATCAGTGGATGGAAGACAATCCGTTTTCAATATAGAAACAAAAGCTTTTCCTACATAATGTCAGCCAGACATGCAACTTTTATCTACAGCGGGGGTACCTGTCACGCCCCAAACGAGTCTTATATATATTTATATGTTTTTTGTTTCAACATTTTCATAATAATTAATGCCAAAATTACGCAAATTTTTTGCTAGTTCGGAGACAAAACCCATTCACCGTTTAGCTTAGGGCTATAACCGTAACCCTTGAGGACTTTGCTCTCTTCTTGATGACTTTGCTTGGCTTTATTTATTGCGTGCGGGAAATGCTTTTGGCCAAAAATAAGCAGACAAAAAAGAGTTGAGGCACATTTTCACCCGCTGCTAGGTCTGCTAGAGCGGGTAATTGAGTGGAAATGTCGACTCTGTCGTCTGCAAATTATTCTTTAATTCGCGGTTGCCAAGCAAGACAGCTGAGGAAAGTCGAGACAGTCTCGGGAAAATTTGTTCTGGGAGTTGTGCTAAATTGCCTAAGGAAAATTACATAAAATGTGACATTCAATTTCGCAAGACTTTAATTAGGAGAGGAGCTTGTTAATAATCTTTTCAAGTGTATAAAATTATGCAGACCTAGATTGGATTTTAAGTTAAAGAAAATCCCAAATTGCTATTTATTATACTTGAATAATAAATTATTTTAAAAAGTACAGTTTTATTCCAAAGACTCTCATCTCCAAAAATGTCGAACACAAAAGTATCTTGTAAATAAAAACATTTACTTTATGATTTTCTGTTTTCTTATTCAAATTTTATAGGTTGTCTTCCATTATTAAAAGTCCAAGCTAATACCCCCTAGATTGATCACGGAACAGATTAGTTGTCTGGCTAGTTCGATGGAGACCCCTTAAATGGTATCCATTACTCATCATCATCCACCGATGAGGCGATGACGCTATGGATCTCGCCAATGGACAGTGGGCGGTTCCTTTCTTCTGGCCAATTTGAATAGTTTTCGGTCAGTAATATTGATAAATTATGATGTCTCATCCGCTGTTAATTAACATAAGATCAATTTATGATCGCCGGCTGTTACCTGCTTTGCTGGCACGCGGATCGCCGAGGCGACAATAGTCGCCCAGCTGGCAATAGAAGTTCCTGTTCTCCTCCACCGCAGAGGCATTGGGTAGGAACATGCTGAGCACGGCAATGTCCTCATTGTTATCCTTCGCCTTCTTGATTCTCTCGGCTCCAATGGTCTTGGTTTGCAGGTGAAGCCGAGACTTCATTCTCGAACTAAGCACATCCACGTCGGTCATGGTCTACTTTTGTATTTAATTTTAGGGTTTAGTTTGGGAAAGGAAAGTGTACCCAGTAAATGGCTTTAGTTTTGACCTGAACCCTTGACTCCTTTTCCTATCTCTTCATTACTTTCTTAATAAGTCACGAGAAATGCAATTTTATTGATTTCATCTCTCAAAAAGTGGGTCATTTCAAGATCAAAGACCAGCCATAAAACCCATTTAAGTTATTCTACAGCTAAGAAAATCACTATCTTGACACGATCTCTGGATTTAAGCGGCAAGCAAATTTGGCGACGCCTAGTCTCTCTCTTTTTTGTTTTTGCCCATAGATCTGGCATGATCTCAAGGCGTTGCCTCTATGACATCATTTGCCAAATAACAAGTTTCATTAAACTTAGCGAATGCTTATAAATAAAATCCCCAGCCAAATTGGTTATAATGGAAATGAAACAACAACAAGAACAACGGGCTATCATAAATCATTAAATAATTAACTTTTTGTAAATACAACAAAACTCAAAAATCTTGTTGAATTTTTGGTCGAAGCTCGTGCGCAAATTGAAGCAGGAAATTGTCCAAGTTGGAGGTGCACAGGAAGCCCAGATTGGAATGGAATAGATTAGAGTGGAATAATAACTATAGAAACCCACACATTGGGAAGATGTGGAAAGATAACTGAGGAATGCCGGAGAAGTCCCAATTGGTAGGCAAGTGGAGTAGTCCAATTGGGTTGATGATGTAAGATCAAGGTTGGAGGGGAAATTTAAACGCGAAATTATACTGTTTAATAGGTTGATTTAGCAGGAATTTAAAAGACTAAAAATCATTCATAATTATCTCAATTACTTAGATTTTATATATCAACAGACTAAGCAATAGAGTAATCACTAATTAACAAACTTCCAAGCTGATTTAAGACAATGTACTAATGACTTTTTAATGAGGAATTTATTTAGCTAGAAATAATGAATACAAAGTCAACATGTCATCCCAGCTTAGGCAAATACTTGCCAAATTCTA